CTTGACTGTGTTATTAAACATATCCTAAGGTAATGCGGTTTTAGAGCAAAGAAGAAAGAAGTATTAAGAATTTAAACAAAAAATGTGCCAGTGGGTCATACTCACCCCACAAAGACTTTAATTACTTCTCTTGTAGGAGAAAGGTGTGGCGACTTCACTGTGTTATATATTTATTATTTTGTACTACGTCATTTCAAAGCGGGTTTGTGCGTTTCAAGCTCTGTGACCTTCAACACTGGCGCAGACTTAACGTCATCAAATGAAAGCATTCAAATAAAAACTGATTAGGAACTAAAAAGACACAGTATACCAAACAATGAGGATGCTCTCTGTCTGTAATCATACTGCTGATTGTAGACGGATAGACATTTGCAATCTCAATATGTCGCACCATTCTCCCACAGAAAAAACAACTAAGAGTCGAGAAGGTCAATATGACCCACTGCTTCTTTACAGTAAATGTAATTCTAGTAGTTCTACTGTTTTTATGCTGTAATGACTGATGGCTGTCAAGCTAAGGAAAACATTTTCTGCGGATAGAAATACAAGGTTTCGGGTTCATAAGCATGCATAAGTAAAATGTTCATCTCAAAAAAGGAACACACGTGACTATAAAATGAAACTTGGAATCTCAAATTAGACATCATAAGTGCTTAAAGTGGAACTCAAACTCAAAAGTGTTTGGGTAGACAGAAACAAATGAGGTATAGCTTTGTACTGTAAATCAACCTAAACCTGTGTACATACATGCAGCAGAATCAGAATCTAAAACAGACAAATCTTAAATACTGCACAATCTTTTTCAGAGACAGAAAGACAAGATAACTTGAATGTTATAAGTTCTTAAATAAATGAACCACAAAGTGATCTCAAAATCACACTAAACTGTGCCTGATTGTATTGTGTGTTCACTTCAACTGATCCTTCTCTACATGAAGCCAAACCACGAGTCTTATTTTCTAGCCTGATCTGATCAATGAGATGTTTCAAGAAAACCTTTTCTCCTCTTTGGCTGAAATGATACAGTTCCACCTAAGTGAATGTTGAAGCTGTGACTCTGCAGATTTCTTTAAACAACAAATGTACCTAGTTGTGTTGTGTTTGTGTCAGGCCATCGTGGACCCTAAGAAATGTTTGGCTTTCAATTAATGCAAAGTGAACGATCATATTTCATGGCATCTAAACTGCACACAACATACAGCATGTTCTTTAAACACCACACTTGAGGAGACAGAGACAATAACATAATCCCTAAAACATTTGAGAAAAGAAATCCTCCAACAGTGCTATAGCTTTGTGAGAGGAACATTATTTTGCTCCCAAAAGGTGTGGGCCTTGTTAAGTATTCCCAGCCTACTTGTGTAATGATAATGGTGTTGGGTAATGACTAATGACTTTATATCTGACAGCTATTCTGGATGTAGTACCACCATCTAGTGTTCATTTCTTGAATATCTTGAACATGAATGCAACATGCCTATAACCTTTAGCAATTGAGCAACTCAAACTTAATATTTATAGATATAAAAGATAATCAGCAGCAGAATATGAACACTGGTCATTTTCTTCTCTTCTAAAAACATCAAATGTGTAAAAGTTTAAGACTCCTACAGGAATAACAAGGAGTATGAACAATACAATTGACTCAACATTGCCACCAAGTGGAGGGGAGAGTGAATTTAGCAGTACTGCAGGCATCTCTTGCAGCAAAACACTTCAAGCTGAAACAACCTTAAAACAAGTACGATGGGCTATTTTTAAACATATACAACAAGCATCTTCATATAATACCTGCAAGTTTAGGGGCCATAGGATCCTCTGATACGTGGACAGGGCCATCTCTGACCTCCCCAACTTTCTCAGGCTGCTCTGGCGTAGCGGGGGAGGGAGACACAACTTCCACAACATTCTTTACCTCCACAAAGGCCTGAGGGCCCCCAGGCAGAGGCTTGGAGTTGTGGAAGAGGCTAGCCCAAGATTTGGGGAGGTTGGCAGAAGGGGCAGCTGGAATTGCAGGTGAATGGGCCTGCTCTGTCACTACCGGTTGGGCAGCAGAGTCAGGGGAGACCTGCTGAGCCTGCTCCCCACTCTCACAGTCTTCTTTTTGTCCATCTGTGCTGACAGGAGTATCAGGCTCTGCTAGCCCATTGGCCACCCCACTGTCTGCCAGCTCCCTTCCTTCCAGTTCAGTAGTCATAATGGAAGTGGCGACACAGAAGACGGCCGCAGCAGCTGAAGGACGTGGAGAAGGTGATTCGGAGCAGGGGCTGTGTGGAGTATCTGAAAGTTCGGGGCTCTGTGGAGCAAAATGATCTGGCTGCTGATCTGCAGTCCTCGGTCCCTCTGTCATCCCTCTGCTTTGAGAGGAGGATGAAGAGGAGGAAGTTGCATTGTTGCCATCTGATAAAGAGGCAGCTCCACTTGTTAATTCCAAAGAAGAGTCATCAGGGCTATCACAAGTCCTCTGATTGGCAGTGGATGTAGGGACAAACTTGGCTGCTGCCACAGCAGCTGTTGATGTTGCCGCCGAGACAGGCCCAGGGGTCAAAAGTTCAGCCCCTGACAACGCCTTACCGTCCACATCTTCAGCACTGTGGTGTGGGCCACCGAGTGCATGTCCGTTCACCAGTGCTGTCACAGGCGTCCCATCTGCCGCACTGCTGCTGTTGTTGCTGCTGCCAGTTGATGGGTCAAGGTAGTTGTAATACCCAGGCGGTCGCTTTTTCTTTTTCTTTCTCTCTCGCTGTCCCAGGCTGCCAGGGAGTCCATCGATGTCCTGGCAGGCCTGGTGATTGTCCAGAGCTGAGGCCTCCGAGTCAGGGCCATCCAGCGAGTTGAAGTGGGTTCCATCAGGGACATCAGCTGCTGGAGGAGCAGTCTGTTGGGCCTTCTGGGCCGCCTGGCAGCCCAGGATGAACTCTGGAGCCTGGGGGTTGAGGGTGCTCGACACCTTGTATAAAGGATCGTTCACCCCAATAGGCTTGGAATCCATCACCTCGTCAACGCCAAACTCAATGCGCTGATAGTCTTCTGCTGCAGAAAACATCAATTCAATAATCAATTAGAACACAAAATCTTGTCTTCAAATACAGCCTCAATATAAAAAGACAGACACTGCTGTATTTTACTCTCTGCTGCAGAGTTTGGTATAAAACTCCTAATTTCTGAACAAGTACGGCATCACCTTAAAAGGGGTCGTGGGAGCTTTCTGACAGGATCAGACCTAACAATAAATAGAAGAAAATAAAATCCTGCTGGACCTATTTTTGGCTCCACAACTACTGTTGTGTCTTTGCTCAACTAAACCACATTCCTTCTGGGCTTATGTGGATCCCAGGAATGTTGCTAACAATTCCAGAAGTGGGGTGATTCAACATTTAACATTTCAATTAGAGTGAGACAATATTGTCTTTGAGCTATTATAATTTCCTAATAAGTAGCAGCCAGTCATCAAGTTGCCAGGCATGTATGTGGTCCTGAATGATTTGTTCATGGCCTGGATTTTACTACCATTTAAATCTGGGTTCTGATACAAAGCCATGTGACACTCAGCAGGCATTATTTACAAAATATAACCGATTCCAATTGCTTTTTAAAAAGATTGTTATTAATCCCAAGAGTAAGAATGAAGAATCTAAATCTGAATTATGTGCTTAACAGTGTACTTTAAAGGTGAAATGTATAGAAATACATTTAAATGTATAATATTTATACAAAAACTTTGTTCTGTTTGGGCTAATCTGCCACAAAGGCAAAACATTTAACCTCTTATCGGTTATGGGTTGGCATTTAGTAGCTCTCCCTAATTGTTTTAATGTAAGGTGTACTTAAAGGTCCTTTGACAAAAGAGTCATAGACAGACCTTAACTAGGCACATGGGATTTATTGTAACTCCTCACTATAAAAATTATAGACTAAAATCCCTCAACAAAATGTAAGCTTACCTTAATTTAACTAACTAATAAATATAGATTAAAGTAATAAATAAACAAACAAAACAGAACAAGACAAATGTTGGCATACTATAAGACATTAACAGGCCTACCTTAAACATTGCTGTACAGCACTACCCACCTTCAAACATTAGTGAAGTTTTATATAATATTCTTTTATAGATAGCCAAGTCCAGTTCTAGAGGATTCAAATATTTCCAACAGAGCATTTTTTAAACTGTGATAGCAGGATGACAATTTACTTTTCTGATTTGACACTCAAATGTCATCCGTAAATGAACCATGAGTGTAAATGAACCATGCTTGATACAGTTTGTATTCTGATGGCAACATCTCATTAAAATATGATTATTAAAAATGTTGCTATGTGCTTGTGTGGCACTATCCCAAATTAAACTAATTAGTTACTTAACTCAGTTAGGCTTATTCAACTTTTATACATAAGATTAATACATTTGAAACATCTTATATATTTTAGAGATATGCCAAAAGTGAAATGGTCTGAATATTTTCATAATGGACTGCACATCAATGATGTACATATGCACCACTACCAATGTAGAACAACAACCTACACAAACAAATGTATGTCATAATTACAAAACAAATGTACTTCATTGTTTAGTTAAAATGTGTTGCATGGCAGCTTGAATAGTAAATGATTATGCAGTGAGAGGCGCAAAGTGAGAAGGTGAACAAACAGGAAACATTAGTAAGTGCAGACCAGAAAAATCATCCAAAAGACTCATGACGCAGTTGACTGGTCACCGAAACTGTAAAACCCTGATGTTCTGCAGGGGTTAAGTATGAAAACAGCGGTTACTTCCTCTACTGGGATTAGAAGATCTTCTGTTAGTGTTATTGAAAATCACACTTATGACTGTAAAATGCATCCAGCAGTAAAAACTTAATGTAAGGCTAAATATGTACACACGTTAGCAACCACATCAAATCATCACTATGCCCTTAGTAAATAAGCTGTGATTGTTAAATCATACGAAAATTCAATCCGATTTTAATTCAACTCGGAGCCCTGCAGTGGTGAAAATGCATTATATGCAAGAGAAGATAAGATACTTGACAGTATCTTGAGCATGCAAAGCTCTACAGATTTTACCAACAGGCAAGAGAAAGAATACAGGCGCAAGGTTTAGAAAGCCACCAGTTTTTGAAACCTGGATTTTGAGTTTTACAGCAAACGTACAACAGCTAGTCAAGCCACAGGGTGTCAGACTCCTCAACTCACCGCAAACCTGCAGTCCCATAGACTCCATAATATAAGGTACAGCAGGAGTGCAGTAACTTCCTAAATAATCAATACAAATCAAGGTAAGGCAAATGTCATGTGCAAACTGGTACCATTCCAAAGACAGGTGGCTGCGATACATTTTCAATTGGGTGGCTCGAAATTTAAAGAATAAAAATATTCTTAATCATATTCTTAAAATAATGAAACTGTCAATATCTAAAGGAATTTGTAATTCATTCTAAACAATATATGCTGCATGTATAAATATTTGCAAAAAATGATCATGAAAACCGTCTCCCTGCCAGGCAAGTCTATATTACATTTTAAAAAAGACCTGCTTTGAAAAACTACAGTGATGTCAACTAAGAGCATGAGAATACTCAGCTCCTGAGAGAGGGTAGGGTAATTTAATGCCAACCATAAAAACATTATCCAAAATAGTGTAAGGGCAATGTACATACCAGAAGACTGAGTGACGCACGGCACTTTGTCATTGAACGGAGGAAGCTGTGAAGAGACAAAAAAAAGTTTAGAAACGATAGCAGAAGCTACCAATGGTTAAAAATAGGGTGAATATCTACAAACCTTTTGGAATGGAAAGAACCAAAAACGACAGTATTATCAAATTCACAACTGTACAAAAAAACCAAGACTGTCACTTAATCGTGGCACATTTGTAATATGTTTTGGCCAACCTGGAGCCTCATTTCCAAAGTAGTGCAGGACTAATATTTGCCAAAGTTTAAATTACATTTCCCATGAAGTTGCTTTCCATCAAGTAGATCCTGCAGACTGCTGCTGCTGTAGAACCAGCAGAGACGACCAAATCTTCTTGTAAAAGGTGAACCAGCATGGCTACCCAATGTGATCATGATTTATTAATGTAAACGCAGATTGTAATCCGGCTCCTTACCTCGACATAACATCGTGGAGTCACAAAAAATTGATTGATCTCATCAGGGCTGAATTCCCCGAAGATGTACTGTGGGAAGAAATCAATACACACCATTAGTTTAGGCAATATTATAAAACCCACTTCTCTCAAAACACATGTTTCCTAATGTGAACTAGGGAATCTTGAATATTAATTTAAGGAAAAGACAAATCAAGGGTAGTCAAATAGTTTACACAGTGAAGGAGAGGGCCATCCACCTCAATGCTGGAACTGATTCAAAAGACACGTCATTCGATATCTAGATAAGGGCTCTTATTAGTCAGTAATCCCCCAGCAAGAGTGAAATGCTAACTGGTACAAAGGTAAAGTACAACATGAAATGATGAGTCATGAAGTGTTATACATAAACCATGAACACAAACAGGACTGTTTGCTTTTAGTGAAATAGGTTTTTGAGCTGTTAACACAGGATATAACGAAGAACACAAAGCACACTCATCAAAACAACCCAAAGCAGTTGTATATATTCTTCTAACTTCATGTATTTTTATTTTTTTTTTTTTTAGACAGAATGAAACTCAAAGAAGCAGTCTGAGCCTCTTGGATGACAGAAACATTTGACTTAAGTGCTTGTGATTTTAAAAACTAAACAGATCCAGACAAAGATTTAACGAGTTCTCTCTTAGTGTCAGCAGTAAATTCATTATTTATGATTAAATGATGATCACTCACTTAACAAAACGCATAAACACTGCTACATTTGTCAGAGATTATGGGCCGCCAGTTTCATAATGAACCGAAAATATTTTTACACTTTTTTTGTGTTTTGTGCTTCAGCAAAGCATCTCTCACTCACAGTACAAGTATCCGCGATCGATTAACTATTGACAATCTGCCCTCGCTGCGCCCCTCCTATGCAGTCTAGTGACAGTCATACTGCAGAGAAACAGAGACAGACGCTCGGTCTTTATTTTACTGGCACGGACCAGAATAAGCGAGAGTGTTCAGCAGTAAACGCATCAGCTGGTACAGTTACCATTCGTTACCACGTTGTTTGATTGTTTCGATAGGCTCCGTCATTAACAACAAGCCTCCTCCATGGCTCGTGGCTCGCCTGCTGTTATTGAAACGGAATCATGGGTGAAAAAAATCCTGAATGCGAGTTGTGTTTTTTGTGCAACTTTATAAAAGTTCCTGAAGAAAGTCGACTGAGACACACATATAGAGAGGCGCGGGGCAACCCGGTGTGTGCAAGAGAGACACAGATAGACAGATATTTTATAGAGAGAATATTGTCTGGTGCAACCAAACGGGGCTCAGCAGAGACAGACAGAACAATTTCACCACAGTGGTACCAAGGTGATTTACAGAGTTTCCAGATGGACTCGTTGCTAAAAGAGGCTGCCTGTATTGTTAGATGCTGTTAGTTAGTTAGCTCGTGCAGCTAACATTAGAGGACTTGAACCCCAGGGTGGCAGGAGCCAAACCCGGCCAAAAACATCTCTGTACTTTATCCCCTGTCCGCTAACTGTCCTCCGTTGACATCGGATGCTGCATTCAGTCCCAGTCTTGCAGTGCTGTTCACTAGTAGGTCCTAGTGCTGGGAGAGTCAGCTAATGGGTCCGCTACAGCTGCTTAACTGGAGGGCATAACACACAGCGCTATTGGCTACCAAGTTCCTCCACAACTGGCTCTTTTTACAGGAAACACGTAAATATGCAGATGCAAATGGCTCTGATTTCCGTTTCACATGGACTTTAATAACTGGCCAAGAACACAACAATTTCTTCTGGTATAACTTGCTAGGACCAAATTGTGAACTGCTATTCACTATTTAGAAAAACATTGTTTTACTGTTTTTCATTCCTGTTTCATATGTCTTATCAACTGTAGTCTACTACACCCCTGACAGATGATCCATCGGAGCAAACACCGCACTGTGCCACGCAAGTGTCCACATGTGCATCCAAAACACAAAGCAATGGAGAAAAGGTGAAATGAACTCACTAGCCACGCCGTTAATCCTCCCAGTGCAACGTGAAAGGGGAGGCACAGAGAAAAGAAAGTGCAGCTCAAGCATATGTAACTCTTTGCCAACGAGGCCCCACGCGAGGGCCCACATTGCTGAAATGGCACTACAAGCGACAAACAGCCAGCCGTAATCCAACGGCCTTGGGACGGCTAATACAATCACAACAGAAAGAATGTCCCTTTGCTTCTTTCTGCAGGCATGCCACACGTACCACACTAAGCTTCCCTTGCTGTTCGTTTGGACTGAGGATTACGACAAATTAGCCATCTGTATGATTTTAACACAGTTTGGTGACGACACCACACACGCGCATCAGGGCTATAGGAAGGGCCTAGCATAACAAAGAGCAGTGTTGAAAGAGTATTAGAATATGATGTGTATCATTTTAATAAGCTTTACTACAATTTATGTATTGGTACAACACAGAACAGGATGTTCCAGGGATTGATTCTGGAATATAAATTTCTCTTGGTAAATGAAAATACAGATGTAGGCATTGTAAATCATCAGTCAAGTAAAAACTTGCTACCAACAGCTTTGACCAAATACACATGAATACCCTAAAACTGAATCCAGGGTCATAACAAGGCCACATCTGTTATCTTCAACATGTAGTAAAAATGTAAAAACATTAAAAATAAATAGTGACATTTAGCCAAATTCATCGATCTTCCACCTGACATTGTCAACACAAAGCAATGGACTTTTAATCCACGCACGTTTCAATTCAGATTTTATGGATTTAAATGAGTCACATTACTATTAAGGGACTATCAGAACTGCTTGTCAGATAGCTATGGGAAACCCCCTCTCCCCATATCTTTCTGTTGTATTAGCGGTGCGAGTAGCCATTTCTGTAACTTTCCAAAACGCACGATCTGACAGTCACACCTACTTCACGCCATGACTGGCTTTCTGTGCGGCGTAGGGAAGAAAGTACCCCGGATTTAAACTTCTTTCTTGGTCTCTTTTTTCGGTTGATACATGACTATTTGTTGGTACTTAATATGTACAAATAAGTGCAACACTATGAATGACTTCCTGGAGAGAGAAACGTGCAATTATCCCAGTTTCTAAACAATATAGTGAAGTCTCCCTCTTCTCTATGACGGTTGGCTTTTGCCTCAGAGTGTGGCCATTCAGATAAGGTATAAACACTTTTCCCAATGTGGTCGGACAACACATCCTACAAACCACTTCTTTTTTTAGTACACCACGGCAATAATACCCCAAAAAGTGATTGCGGATCAAACAATCTGTGTACTCTAACCATAACAAGGGCTACAGGCCTCACTACTGGGTTTGTTCTCTTAAACTGGTATGCAGTTATTAATGGACAACTTGGCTGAGCATGAAAATGCTTCAGCGCCAGTACAAATAAGGTCAGACTAGTTTTCAATGAATCTCTGGAGCATGCCAATAATATGCCAGCATATTGGTGTGATGTAGTAATAGGGTGACATGATTACAAAGCATGAAACTCAAAGTAGTGTGACACTGGAAGAAAGGAATCCCAGTCATTTGTTCTGCTTAAAGACAGGTGCTATCACACAAAAGCAACTTCTCAGCAATTCAACGATGTGGTAACAACGTCATTTATTGATATAGTCAGCAGTACGCCTTAAAAACATCAATTTATTTTTAATTAGTCTGAACTGTTAACTGTTGTTTGGACAATTTGATACCTGCTATGCTTGTAAGATAAAAGGATGATACTGGAATGACAATTTCAACCCCCACCCCGATATTAATTATCCCAAGGACAAATAGCACTGTTACGTACAAGTAAAATTGCTTTCTACTGTTCCCTGCTGCCACTTTATTAGAACAACAAAGCTAAAACCAATACTGTCTAAGCCAGATCCCTGCAATAAATTCTACTTAAAGCTATAATATTGTTTTCCTTAAAACTGTTTTAGAGGTGTTGACTTTGTGATTGTGTTTTAATTTTATTGAGTTACACTGCAAATTGTTTCTAATATTTTGTTTACTCTTGGTGATTAATTGGTTAACTCAAAAGGGCTCTCTGCTAACATTGTGCGGCATAATCAGTGTTGTGTAGAGCTGCAACAATTAGTCGGTCGACAGAAAATTAATCAGCAACTATTTTGATAATCCGCTGCTTTCAGCTAGTGTTTTTTTCCACTGGGAAAATGGACTAAATATCTTTTGGTTCTGGACTGTTTGTCAAAACAAGACATTTGAAGACCTTGGATAATGGGAGTTGACACCATTTCCTGGCATTTTATAGACTGAATGATTAATTTATAGACTCATCAATAAGGAAAATAACCATTACTTGCAGCCCTAATTTTGTGTACTGCGATATTTTGATATTGTGTAGTCAGTAACATGTTAACATGTAATCATCTTAGAAAGCATACAGATAGGTAGATGATAACATTTAGCAGGTTAGTGTGCCATGCTAAGGGTAAAATCCACATCTTAAAGCTGAGGTTGCTGGGTATTATTTTATTAGTTTTACATTAGTCATTAATCAGGGAATTACCAAAATGTTAGGATTCATGCTACAGGGAACATTAATGTCTGCACCAAATTCAACTGCAACCCAAGCAATAGTTGTAGAGACATTTCAGTGTGAATTTAAGTAGCACGACGAGAGTAAAGTATTGTAAATCTTAGCTAAACGTCTGGTGCATTATTTGTGCGTTTTCCCTCTGTGTGCATTTGGAATGACTAAGCTGAAAACTTTGGCAGTTAGTGTGATCTGTTTGTGCACACAGTGTGTAGTTTTTCCAAGGAGGGGTGATGAGGATTACTATCCCACTCAAAGATTTATGCTGTGGTGGAACGTTGAGTTGAAGTAAACAGACACACAAAGAAAAAAAGAAAAACAGGATGTTGCAATCGTAGTTTAAAGTTGCAAAAGTGTCATTCAATTCAGTGAATTATTCCTTAATACAATGAACAGTGGATGTGGTTGGTTCTAAAACTTATCCGTGGCTGTATTTTTGACCTCTGTCATCAATGTGCATGCACCAAGAGGAAGCTGGCTCTTCACACTGCTTAATTTAATGAGTTTGGGTAGGAATAAAGTGCAGTTGCCACGTTCAGTGTAATAAAGAAATAGCCCGAGTGCAATGCATGATTCCTGTATGTGTCTTTAATTGTTTTGGACAACACATTCCTAAGGCTTTCCAGCATAACCCATAACTTGTTGTAAACAGAGAAGCATCTATCCGTCTTATCGCTACACAGCGAACGAATGGTGCAGCGTCTAGATGCTTCAACTAAACCAGTAAGCGTCAATGTTAATGAGGACATGCAAACCTACCGTAACACAAACACCCAGAGAGAAGAAATAACTGTTTATATAACGCTGCTGTTTAAATGTGGCATTAACAAGGCAGTTTTAACAGACCGTTTTATTTTTTATTGGCGACTAAATTTATCACTAAAACTCCGTAGGAGGTTGCTGCAACTAATCTCACTGATTTATTTAACAAAGCACTGCCTTAAAAGTAAAACATCTTTAATCTCTCACAGTGGCTCAGCTTTACTACTCACACTAAATGTAATCAACAGTGATGTTAGTATACTACTTTTAAGGGGAAGATGTGCAAGATAATGTAAAATAGGATTAATGACCACATGCAGAATACTGCAGTATACTGTTGTAGTTGGCCAGTTGTCGGATTAAAGCCGTTTTTATCTGCAGACACAGAACAGTATTGATAAGAATTTCCAGTATTACCTGTTTTGCTGTGTTTAAACTCAGAGTAACGTAATCCCTTTTGCTACTGGTGTGTCTTGTTCTGCCTCTGACAAGTTGGCTGCCCCACCTGTTTATCAAGTTTTCTTTCATTTTAATTTCAGAATTTCTGTTCCATGTTAGACAATGTTTTTTTTAAGTTGTTTACTCCAATCGCCTATTCATTTGTCTTTTTTTTTTTTTACAGAGTAGATCAATGTGACAGCAAAACTTTCATCAGTATTTTACAGAGGGTGCACTATTAAAAGGAGTCCTGGTAACAAATGGGGCAACCAGACCAAATTAAATAGTTGACAGAGATCCAAATCCAGTTGCCCAAGGACACTGAGCAACTGTTAATGTAGAGCCCTATCGGCCGATACTTAATTTAGACCTTTTTTTTTTTAAATTTAATGCTATAAATTCTCTGCAATCAATACAGAACATAACAATGAATCATGGTGGGATAATTAGATATCAATGGGTAAATGTATTCACTTGACATGCCAAATATTCAAGATATGAAAAAGCTGTTTAAAAAGAGCCAAGACGGGTTTTGGCTCATACACTTTCACTTTGAGGAACAGTCAACCAATAGAAATACTCAATTTTGAGGGCAGGAAGGAGTGTGAAAGCATGCAGAATAAAGTGTTCAGTGAGGTTTCCCTTCCTATGGTCGTTAGCCATGTTCCGTTTCTTGAACTGTCAGCCTGAGTTTGACCCCGGTGAAGCATGTATTCCTAACTTAAAGTTGGATTTTTCGCTGTGTGTATTTGCTTTTTTCGTCTCAAGTTAAACTTTAATTCAGCAAACTTGTAGAAACTTAAAACCTTGCATGTCTCTGCATGCACAGCTAGACTTCAAAATGGGCCTTCCCACATGATAGCTAACTTCCTCCGAAATGACACCAGACTTTCGGAGTTACCTACAATCTAAGCAGCACCGAGGGCAGCGGTGTAACGGCACACTCTCCCGGCAGTCTGCCAGCTGAATCCCGTTTTTAATCGTTTCCAAGTCAAATAAATCTTCGCTATCAACGAAGGCCCACACTGTCGCATTTTGTATTTAGCTAACCAGCTAGCGGACTGGCTGCAAAGTCTAACCACACCACCTGTGCAAAAGCTGTTAGCTGGCTAAATGCTAAGTGGGCAGCACGAAATCGTATCCTCGCTCACAACTGCTTGGAAACGGCCAACGATCACGCGCAGAACACTCCGCAGAACCGTTATTATGCTGCCTAGCAACCCGGAGCAGAACTAATGAGCGGTTATTAACGGTTATTAGGAAACGCGCTCGGGGAAGGCCTGTCGCAGCGGTGGGCAGGTGGGCCATGCACACACGCAGCAGTTTTCTGTCACTTAGCTCTGGGAAATAACACATGACACTTGTGGGATCTCTCGCCGAAGTGTCCCGGACGCTGGATGAAGCACGATCGGGTGTCATTTGGCGAAACGTGGCTGTCACATCCTTAAAAAACTGCAGCACATTGCAGCGCTGTCTCATTTGAATGGAGGGACGTGGGGCCTGTTAGCTACCATGCTGGTGGTGTTTCAATGAGGCTTAGAGAGAGAGGG